ACTGTATTGCTATAGAACCGTCACCACACTAAGTAAATACAAAGGAGATATTTATTAGTAGTAGTGTTTCCTATTCTTTAATAATAGAATAGAAGAAGCCGTACAGCGCCGCGATCCTAACGCAACTGGATCGGATTACCAAAGTATCGAATTAGACGTTGGTTAAACACCTACGTCACGAGAATACCTACCCGAGCCCAAGGGACTCGTGACATTATCGTCGTTGTGAAACTGATGAATGTTTATTTGCTTAACATAAAGGGTTATATCTTCTTATAAAAGAGCTTAGTGAGAATTTACGTAATATCAAGAATGAAATAAAAAAACAGCATAATGATAAAGAAAAAGAACTTTCACCATGGATTTTTGATATATGTTTTCATAATTGTAAAATTAGATCAAGTCAAATTGACTATAATCGATATTTTAAATTAAAAGTCAAATCAATTTATATCAATTAATAGTGCAAACATTTACCAGGGTAGTTACGACTTATAGCACTTACGGTTATAACGTAGTGATGTACTACTCTTGGAGTTAAATTGACGTGACGTGAGTGACGTGACGTATGCTGTATGACATGATATATGTCATAAGACGTGATGTATGTCGTATGATGTGATCTGGCAATGAAAGATGAAGAAAAAATTCCAGTTTAAAAAAATATGAATATCTCCGCATCTAATGAACCAAATTTAATGTTTTGATACCATTAGATGCGTCTTGACTAGACCTTTCTAATGATACCAAAATAATTGAATTTGGTTTGCTAGATGTGGAGATATTTGCATTTTTTTAAACTGAATATTTTTTTTCACCTTTCATCGCCGGTTTGAAGTTTACTGCAATTCTGCTAGTTAAAAATAACTTGGCTAACAATAATATTTTAAGATCATTAAATTTAACAATGTAAAAATACAAAAATGTATATATATATATATATATATATGATCAAGAGTCTCAATAAAATAATAGAATTATAATTTTTCTCCAAGTAATTAAACTTGTAAAAAACTCTTTATGATAATTATTATAAAAAGATGAGCTAATGGATATAATTACATGTACTTTGAGTTTTATTATCTATTGTTTTGATTTTCATGTTCTAAAAAACTATTTAGTATATCATGCGGATCATAATCCAAATCAGCAGAAGAAATAACTTGAACTATTTTTATGGAAGATTCCAAATTTTCTTCAGCTGTCAAGTCAATAATCTCCTCAATTAATAAGGTTGTAGGATAATTCAATATTACGTTATCTAATAAACTCTTCTCACTAACTCTTATTTGATCCTCCTCATAATTCATAATATTACTGATTGATGTCACATTACACGCATCCTGAAGATCAGCCTCTGTTAACTCTTTACCAAAAAAGCTTAGCTCATATTGAATATTAGTCATATAATATGATCTAATTTTAGCCATTCCTTCTAGCTTATTTAGACCCAAGCTTGTTTGTCGTTCCCCCATCCATTTTAATGTTGAAAAATTTCTTTCACAATTCGCTTGTGTAGGATTAATTGAAAAGATTCTATGCACCAATTCAGCTAAATGTCAGAATTGATTCTTAAAGGAACTCCACCAAATTTTTGGAGTATCCATACCAAAAACATAAGGAAGATCAAATGGTGGCAATCATGCTTCAAAACACCGTAATTGTGCAATTAACTCTTCACCTTCTGATCGAGTATGTTCAAGATTTTGCCAAAGCTCAAGAGAAGTAAGAGCTGCTTTGTGAAATCCATTAACTTTTAAGCCCTTTCCTAAAAATTAATAAAATAAATTGTTTTAAATAGCTCAATTATATAAATTATTATGAAAAAATTCTTACCTCTATATTGCGGATGAATATAATATGCCAAAATATAAAGAGGATGCAAAAATTCCTTATAACGTCAATTAAAAACATGAATGGCTGGAATCTTGAAAGAGTTTATTTCAGATAAGCGATCAATTACTATGATTAACTTGATTAAATAGATAAAACAATCGGCTAATGTTGCATCCTTAGCTTCTAACATATAAATAACTTCCTTAATAGTCTGCCATACTGAACGCACCAACTGACATGTAGTGAAAAAGTCTTCATCAGATATCAAATTACTAACTTCTTGATTAGTAATTGACTCACTGTGTTCAGAAAGTATCTAATAATAAAATTTATTTTTATTAATAATAATACATATTAAAGTTCTTTACTAATTATACTTGCCCAATCAAATACAGGACATCCATGAAGCATCGAATCAGTAGTCAAATATAAAGATCCCCAACGAGTTTTCACCCATGTTTTTAGTCCACCACCTTTAATCTTCATATCCACAAATCCTTTGGTAAGTAATGAATGACTTGAATGTGAAGTTCTGAAAAAATGATTGATTTTTCCACAATTATTAATTAATTTTTTTATACTATCTAGTTCAACTAAATCAGCTGCAATAAGATTAATCGCGTGTGCTGCGCATCGAACATTCCAGATATGTGAATATGTTTCTTGTATTTTTTGATGTGCTACATTACAATTTGATGTTGCATCTGTTACTATAGCTGCAAATTTATCTGAACCAAGTTTTTCAATAATATCTGATATTTCATTTGCTAAAAATTAGTATGAGATTGGATGGAATAATTTCGTAGACCAATTAAATATTCTTTCCGGGTGTCTGTTGTAACAATATAATTATAAATTGATTCCATTGATGATGTCATTCAACCATCCAAAGCTTTAAATAAAAAAAAGTAAATTATTATATTTAGCTTAGTTAAATAAATATACTTCAAGTAATACTAACCTAAAGTTAAATGATCTGCTTTATCTAAATCAATGTTAATTGCTCTATTTACTTGTGCTAATTCTTCATCCAGTAACCAATCTGATAAAGTTGTTCTTGATGGTGGGTTATATGCAGGCTGAAATTCTTTGAATATATCTTGGATAAATGGGTTATCAATAACATCGAAAGAAATTTCTGCCATTGTCCAAGCCTTGATTATTTTTTGATCAAGCTGGTTAATAATAGCCTTTGACAATGAATGATCTGATATATAATAAGATATTATTGCTATTTGCAATGTTGAAGTATAATTTTTTGATTTTCGAATATAATTCAGATCTCTTTCAGCTACTTTTTCTTGCCAATATCATGATATATCATCTGGACAACTAGCACATTCATTCGCTAAATGTGCTTCTAATTTTGTTGGTTTTTCTCGTGACCATTTTTTTTTGCAATAACTACAAGTGGCCTCATAGTGTTCATTGCTTTTTTCAGTTTCTCTGACAAAGTAATTCCAAACTTCAGAAAATTGCCGAGACTTGGTTTTATTTCTTGATGCATTATTTTGGTTCTCTGGATGTGTAGTTGTCAAAATTTGCGAGTTAGTAGTAATAGTCGTAGTTGCTGTTGTTCTAATCTTTTCTGATTCTGATTATGAACTAGTTTCTTCTGATTCTGATCTAGATTCTTCAAGAAAAGATCTATGCCTTTTTCGTGAACTTCCCTCACCGGTTGCCATGAGCTAAAAAAATGTGTAATGATTTTATTATTCATACTAACTAAAATTAAACCAAATATAGTTAAAGTTTATTAAATCTACACAAGCTCAACAAAAATGAAATAATAATAACAAAAGAAAAGAACAATTATAAAATATCAATTTAAATCATGTAACGCTTAAAACCTGCACACGAAATCTACAATCGTCTTTGTGTTAACGTTAATAAAAATGAATTCATAAAAGATACTATATACATATAATGGTCACACGATTTGTCACATGTAAAAATTGAACATATGATGTTGATTGATTTTAAAAATCGATATAATTGCATTTTCGAATTTTTCGTCTAAAGTTCCGCCAAAGCACTCAAAAAGCCTTTAAATAAAGTTGTTGCCTGAGTCTTCATGAACAAAACGATATATATAATATGAAAAATGGATCTGGTACGACATCCCGAAAATCATAATCCCAACAAGTCATAAACCAGAAAAATGAAATCCCGAATGAACAGCATACCGAAAGCACAAAATCCCAAATGAACAGCATACTGAACAAACCAAATCTCGAATGAACAGCATATCAAAGCACAAAATCCCGAATGAACAGCATACCAAAGCACGAAATCCTGAATGAACAGCATATCAAAGAATGAAATCCCAAATGCACAGCATCCTGAATGAACGATATATACCAATGCATTCGGGATACTGTGCATTCAGGATTTCATGCTTTCGGTATGCTGTTCATTCAGGATTTCGCTCATTCGGTATGCTGTTCATTCATATGCTGTTTATTCAGGATTTCGTGCTTTGGTATGCTGTTTATTTGGGATTTCGTACTTTCAGTATGCTGTTCATTCGTGCTTTCGATATGTTGTTCACTCAGGATTTCGTTTGTTAGGCTTATGTATTGTCAGGATTGTTGTTGTCAGGATGTTGAATGTATCCATCTTTTATTGTATAATGATTATGTATATTATGTCACTATATATGACAAATGTCACTATATACGACATACGTCACTATATACGGCAAATGTCACTATATACAACATACGTCACTAAATACGACATACGTCACTTTTTACGTCTACGTCAAAAGTGACGTAATGCCGTGACGTTTGTCGCAGAGGTAGCTACCCTCAGCTTGAGAAATGTTTGCACTATTAGTCTTCATTAAGACTTGCTGCTAAACGAACATTTGTACTGATTTGGTCTGCACGATGACATCCTATTTACCAGTTAATTGAAATTAATGATGAAGATCAGAGATTACGATTAAGACCTGAAATTTACAAGTTGATTCAAGAAAGGATTGTAACCTCATGCTCTAAACTTTCGAATCAACATCAAGATCATGACGCAATATTGAAAGAAATTAACAAAATGCTCAAATCTTTAGTTCTTGCTATACCTTCACAACGGCACTGGGAGATTGCAGTACGTAATTATACAAAGTTTTTGAAATTGCGTGCTAACTTTTTTAATATAATAGGCTATAATGAAAGTGAAATGCACGGACCTCACATACGTCCTAGTTTTACTGCTGAATCATGTCAATTTCAGATTCGAATAAGACAAATCGAATTTGTAAACCCAAATGCTAATAACCGTGTTTTTCAAGACATAAGTGAAGAGTGGATGCTAAGTGAAGAAATGAAAAGATTTAGTGAAATTGCTCATATGAAAAGAATAGATTTTATAAAAGCAAAGTTTATTAAAAAAAACATCACTAAGCATTTGGCAACTGATTTCAATAACACATGAAGAAGAAAATCATCAGAAGGCTGAAAGTTCGTTAACAAAATCACAGATATTATCCATAATCAATTCTTTAAGTCCTTTTTTAGGTGAATTAGAACAGTCACGTTTTCGAGATTTATTAAGTAAATCCTGCAACGATTTAGTGAATATTCTTCAAGAAATTAAAAATATAATATCTGAAAATAGTATTAATATTAATAAATAGTCATGTGCTTTCATGATGTTCTACAACTGAATGCGAGAAAATTCTAAAATTGGTTTATCCCTATAAAAAGTATGATCTGCATCATCCAAATTTGGAAAAACTTCTGACTGTATTATATTAGATAATCTATATTTATATTACATTATAAGATAAGTAAATAAACAAGTAATTAAGTAAGTAAATAAGTAATTTTCTTTTAAATATTATTAATAGTTTTAATTTAATAATTTTATATAAAAGAAGCATATATTTTAGCTTAGAAAAATTAGTTATTCAGTTAATCAATCAAATAATAACTCAAAAATAAACTTCTTTAATAATAATACTCTTTTGAAATTAACATATTCAGAATATTAAAATATTTCTTTTATTATTTTATTATTTAAATTTTAAGTTTTATATTAATTTTGTTATAATCTCTCATATATTTATAATAATATATTAATAATCTTTTATATATTTATAATATTATGTTAATGATTTCTTATATATTTATAATATTATATTTATAATTTGATCTTTTACATATTTGTGATATTATATCATTGAAATGATTTAATAAATTAAATTTATAATATTTGACTTGTCTATAAACTATTATTATAATTATTATATTATATATATATTAAATTATAAGATAATTTTTTAAGTCACTTTCTAGCTGACTATTATTTAATGAATATATATCACTATCTTTAGTTATTTATTTTATCTTTTCTATTGTTATGATTGGAAATTTTCATAATTTTTATAATTTTTATAATCTTTATAAATTCTAAAAATATCATAAACTCTGTATTTTTTATAATTTTATATATAAATCAATTAGGTAAATTTTATATTTTATCATTTTTATAATTTTATATAATTTATTATTAATATAATATTAATTAGTAAAAAATATTTATTATAAATAAAGCAATATTGAGATCTTGAAAAAGATATTAATTGATTACTACAAAAATTTAGCTAGCATTATCATTCTTATCAAAAAAATTCGTAATTACTTAATTATTGATCAACAAAAATTAAGATGTATTACAAAGAATATTAATGTTATATTATATAACTCAATGATGATCAAATTAATTTGCCTCTTTATTTTTATATTGTATTTTATTACATGATTATATTTAGTATATATCATTATCTTTTTAATATTTAAATTATAATACCTAAATATTAATTATATTTTTGTTTTATTTTCTTTTACTATTGCACTAAATTTATTTATTTTTTATATTTTTCACTATTTTTATTATTGATTTATTTCATCTATATCCATCATGTTTATTTTTATCTTTTATTTCATTATTTTTAACCAATTATTCATATATTTATTTTATTTTCTTTTTTACTCTTGTTACAATTATTCTTTTTATCTTCTAATTTCTTTGTTATAATTATCTATAATTATGTTTATATTATTATTTTCTTTCTATATAACACTTTTTTTTACTCAAACTCTTGTTTTTCTTATCTTTAACCACTAGAATTACAACTAATTTTCTTTTGTATTTTCTTGTTAATGAATTTGTGTAATTTTTCATTTATTTTTTAATATTTATACTTCTTTTGTATTATTAGTATTATATGTAGAATTCCAAAATTTGGTTCAATTTAGTTCAAGTTCAATTCAAGTTCAACAAGTTCAATTTGAGTTTGGTTCAGTTCAAACTTTGAATCTTTCTTGAACATATCAAAAAGTCTGGTTTGAGTCTGGTTTGAACTTTGAATCTTTCTTGAACACATTAAAAAGTCTAGTTCAAATCTGGTTCAAACTTTGAATTTTTCTCGAACTTTTCAAAAAGTCTGATTCAAGTTTGAGTACAGTTTGAGTTCAGTTTGA